GCAAAATAAAACAACTGCTTATGCATGAGGAGCTCGGTGACAGAAAGCCCACACAATTTCTTCGCCACCTACAACAACTAGCTGGACCAACTGTTCCTAACGATTTTATCAGGTCAATTTGGTCTAGCAGGCTTCCGGCGAATCTTCAGACCATAGTAGCCATGCAAGCCAATTCAAGCTTGGAAGATGTAGCAGAGCTAGTCGACCGTATAAACGACATCGTACCAGTTACTGGTCAAGTCGCCACTAGCATGCCAGTAACCGGACAAGTAGCAACTGCACAGTCGTCTATGAGCAGCAGAGGAGGAGCACAGGGTAACACTATTGACGCTCTAACGCAAGCTGTGACCGAACTGACTCGCAAGATGGAACGCATGAGTACCGAACTACAAAGAGTACAGCGTTCTCATAGCAGAGGACCCAGAGGAGGTAAAAGTCGTTCCCGGTCACGTTCTAGACCCAGAGATCATCCTTACTGCTTCTATCACTACCGGTTTGGTGATCGAGCTCGCAAGTGCACACAACCTTGTACCTACAAAACAACAAAGTCGGTAAACTACCAAGGCAGCCATTAACGGCGGGACAAGACTGCCTAGCAATATCAAGCCGCCTGTTCATTACGGATCTCAAGACAAAAATACAATATCTTATAGATACGGGTTCGGACCTGTGCGTATTTCCGAGATCCGCTGTTCGGGAGCGTCGTACTACAACAGAGTACAAACTATTTGCAGCCAATGGGACAATAATAAACACATACGGTTTCATCTCTCTCATTCTGGACCTAGGACTTCGTCGCGCATTTTCTTGGCGATTCATCGTAGCTGACGTCACAAAGCCAATTATCGGTGTCGACTTTTTAGCTTACTACAATCTATTAGTCGACTGCCGAAACCAGCGTTTAATAGACAATCTCACTACGCTAATGGTCCGTTTACCTCAACACCAATCCACTGAAGCCATATCGTCTGTACGCACTTTTATAGACGGTAGCGACTACCACCACCTTCTGAAGGAATTTCCAGACCTTACACGTCCAGCGGTTAAGCCAAGTACTCCTAAACATAATACAAAGCACCACATTCGCACTACGGCTGGCCCGCCAGTCTTCGGGCGTCCACGTCGTTTAGACCCTGCGGTGCGGTGCGATCCTTTAATCTTCGGACCTGTCAAAAGGCTATGAAGTGGCGCCTGTATCGAAGCTGCAGCTGGTATAAAACGCCTGTAGAAATTTAGCATTCCAAGGAATCGTCTTAGTTCTTTGACGGTTTTGGGAGCTGGAAAGTCATGTAAGGCCTGAACCTTCGTATCCAGGGGCTGAATACCGCTAGCTGAAACTTTAAATTCCAAGAAATTTACCTCTTTCTGACCAAAAACACACTTGTTTGTGTTGAGTAGGACTCCAAATTTTGATAGCTTTTCGAAAAGCTTTCGTAGATGCTACTGATGAAGGGTGGCGCTGCTACTGAAGACCAAGATATCATCGAGATACCCGTAGCAGAAGTCCAGCCCACTTCATCCATGAATCGCTGGAACGTTTGAGCGGCATTTCGAAGACCAAACGTCATGAATGGAAATTCGTATAAGCCAAAAGGTGTGGTTATGGCGGTCTTGGATATATCCTCTTCTGCGACCGGTATTTGATTGTATGCCTTTACCAGGTCTATGGTAGAGTATACTGAAGTACCTGCCAGCTGATGGGTAAAGGCCTGCAAATTCCGAATAGGGTATCGGTCGGGAATCGTAAGTGCGTTGAGTGAGCGATAGTCTCCGCATGGACGCCAACCGTCGTTCTTCTTGCGCGCCAGGTGAAGGGGAAGACGCAAAGAGTTACGATAGATCGTCTCAAACCTGCATTTGTCACAAATGAGACACCGATAGTCACCACAGGCAGCGAAAAAGCAAAGGACCAACCCGTCTTGAAGAAGACCAGAAGCGGGCGCACTGTTAGATTTCCAGACTACTATCGCCCGTAGTCACGGTCTCACCGGCTGAGTGGTGTGGCGAGTAGGCGAGTAGGCGAGTAACCCCTATGCGTTAGGACGTAGCACTAGATCATACGATCTACGTCACATATGGCGTGATGTTCTCGACATGTAGGGGATAAGTACAGTAAGCCCCGCTTACAGCAAGATGACCGCCCATTTGCTATTATACTACCAGCGCGCGCGCAATATGGTCGACGCACATCTTTTGTTGTACGGCATACGCCCACGTTCAAAAAGTGCCAGGACCGAAGCTTTTCTATGTTTACTATTATTAACTATTTTTGTGTATAAATACTGTGTCGCATTGTGTGAGAAACCATTCCGACTTTTGTTATCGTCTTGGTACAAAAATAAAGAATTGTGTACGTGTTGCTCAAGTCCTTTGATTATTGATAACAAGCCGATACTAAGCAAATATCCTTCGCTTCACTAGTATTATAAAATTATCAAATTTATTATAAACAACTGAATTAGGATAACCAGCTGTGAACAGTACAGTGGACGGACGTCGACTGCACTGAGATAGGAGGGAGTTCGATTCCAACCTAAATCACTTCACTCCTTTTTTTTTGTCTGTGCGGAAATCCCTTTGGATATCACCCACCGGTGGTTATGTTGGACATGAACCGACCAAAAACCGCACGCCGTCTCCGCCATTTCTTTCGTAAGCATAACTTCGCTGCAGAAGGAGACGGCGGAGTTCCACGCGCTCGCTCTCCGTACCATGGCCCCAATCATGGTACTAAGCGAGAGAAATCCCACTCTGATGGCTGCCACGATTTCACGCTTCTGCTCAAACCCCCCTCCCCCCACGAATTCTGCCTGCGTGTGGAGCGTGCTGTCCACGTTCCGGCCATCGCAGTGGTGACACTCAGTCGTTGTATCCTTGCGGATCAGACACATTTGATCACCTGCGTCAGCCGGTATGAGAGGGTGCCGTGTTGCCTCTTGAGCCAATCCTCCATAACAGGTCTTACCGCCGCAACAATGGCGTGCCCGAATACAGTGTACCCTATTCTTATTTAATAAGACTGCCAATCTTATTTATAATACTGATATTTATCATCATACCATTTCCACGGCACCTGATTACGTAAAAACGATTATTGTTGTGGTATGTAGTTTCTTTTATCTTACTAATTTTTTGATTGGTATTTTGAACGATTTCGAATTGGAGCTCATTAATATGTGCTGCCAAGTCTAGGAGTGCTAATGAATCTCCTTTACATTGTATAAAATGAAGTGGTTTTTTTTCTTGTAAGCTTAGATATTTCAAACCACGCAACGGATTTCAATGCTGTTTTCACCAATAGAGAGAATAATTTTATTCTATTATAGCAGAGGAAATTCGATAATTTCAAAGATTTGTGATGTGAAGTCGTAAAAACACTTTTTTGTGCGCTTACATTGCAAACGCTGGCTAAACTTTACGAAATTGATCAAAATAATGTACTACGGAATTGTATATATTAAAAAGACCTACAAGAAGCCCTGGCTAGTATATGTTTAACTCCTAGGAATAACTCACAGTAAGCATTTTATCTTTTATATATTACAAACAAAATAATGGATAATTTACGAAGCTATTTTGAACAATACAGTATTATACCTTATCCAAATAAATACGTTAGGTAGTTTTGTATTTAATGTAAATAAAAATGCCTTTCAGAGCATATCATTAAAATTAATATCTTGGTAAATATCAGAGCTTTAAAATGCGGGGGCAAAGCGGCTATCGCCGCGTCGAGCCGTACGTCCAAATCGGGGGACAGCAGCCGGCAGGAGCGGAGTGAGCCAATAAATATAAAGATGTCCTATAGTCTTATCATAATAATAGTATAATTAATTACTCCACACTGACACCACATTAGTAGCATCTACATTGCAATAGAAACGCACTGTCTCAGAAATCTGTGTATCTTCGATGTGTAATGAACGACATTGTTTGAGTCTTAATAAATAATATCAATTATTTTATAATTAATAAAATAGTATAAGTAAGTCACTAACCATAATTTTTTAAATTAAAACTACAATAATATTAACAACCTCACTTCAACCTAGATATTAACAATTTTGTATTTAAAAAATACCCACGATCATTTTCTAATATAAAATACATTTGGTGACAGATTTAGAATATGTAATATCGCCAATACATCCCGTGGATGTCGTAAACCGACTAAGGGAACTGAACTATGATATCATCACTGCAAAGAGAAGGAAAACTTAAAACAAACTCTATGCCTACGCGTCAGGCCAGCTTGGTATAGTAGGCCAAAACCTTTTTTGTAAGAAAAAGCCATGTCCAGCGTTGGACTACTAAAGACTGATGATGATGATGATGATTTACTAATACATACCACAATCATGTTTTACTTCAGATGAACCTCTTATAGCAAAAAAAAAAACTTATGAAAATAAAAATAAATTGTCCTTAGTCTTTATCAATGAAGACTCAAAAAGTTACTTTTAAGTTTGTACCTATTGCAGTCCAAAATGTCGATAGCCAGAGATGAACACGCATTTTTACGATAAAATATTTTTTTCTTTTTGAACGTTACGAAAATTATTACCTCTCTCTTTAATTCAGCCAGCTACAAAAGCGTGTTTTTTTTAGTATTTTCAAACTATTTTTTTTTAAAGACAACTGCAGTAGGACTATATCCTGTGTCGCGGGGGACTTTACAAATATACATTAAACGGACACAAAGAATACCCAGACTCAGAACAGCAATTTGTGAATCACACAAAGTGTTGTCTCATGAGGGGATCGGACCCACAACACTCAGCGCAGTCGGAAGCGGCGAGGTGATCGCTTAAACCACTACGCCATCCGTGCAGCAAATTTAAATGTATATATCAGTCAAGTTTAGAAATACGTACCTGTATTTATTTGAGACAATAAAAATAAATTTATTTAAATTTAAAATTTACGTATCATTGCCTGATTTTTTATTCAGAGATATATTGAGAGCTGCACAAATATTGAATACGTGCTGTTTTTGTTAGGTGGAGTGCATCGGCAAGGCGAGAATACATTAGACATATCGGCAGATTTAAACGAATTGGGCCGTAGCAAGACCCTTGTCGTCTGCAGCGGCGTAAAGTCTATATTGGACATTGGAAGAACTCTTGAATACCTGGTATGTTTTATTTATTATGAATTTTGCTTTTCAAAATTAATCAAGAATAAAAATTTATTTAATAAACAGCAACTGCTGGAGATTATAATAATGAAGGCGTCATTTACATGAAGGGAAATGTAAAATATTAAGATTTCATTAGTTTAGTTTAGTTTTTCATTTGATAGAGCTTTCGCTATACGAGTCTATTTACAATGGAATCGCATTTATGGACAACTACAGTCGACAGTATATTTATAGAATTGCACATTAGGCGCTATTCTAGTTGACCGGATTGGTGGTTTCCCAGCTTGTAATTAAAGAGTGACTAAAAAAGTTAACACCACTGTCCTGACACTCGAGTCCTCCCGAGTTGGCACGCTTGGCAGGTTAGCAAGCAAGGTGTCTTGCTATAGTATTCATTTGACTAGCTCTTTCGTAGTTATGTAGTAGATGGTCAAACGACTTTAAATGAAGTTCAAACTAAGTTTTACTAGCTACTATTACTTTTGCCATTCGGTTTAGTTTGAGTTTGGTTTGAACTTCAACCATTGATTATAGTATCTGAATATTATTAAAACGCCATTAAGACGTACTTTTTGCTGTAGTCCATCAGCTAAACAGTCACATTTTTATTCTTTCATTTATGTTTAGTCTTTATTTTTGTTAAAGGAAACCCAAGGAGTATGTGTGTGCGCTTTTGGACAATCTACCGATTTTCCTGCGTTTTATACTCCTAAGTCAGGTTATCGGGCTCCACATCGCGTGTCAGACGCTCAGCATGCAGCAAAACTATTACAAGCTGCTTACAACTTGCGGCTGAATAGTGGTATCGTAGTTGCTGTACCAATACCGCAGGAATTTGCTATGAATGGTAATTTTTATAGGTGACTCTCCTATTAATTTTTTTTGCTCCGACAGCTCTTAATTATTATTATATTTATTTTTCTTAGATTAATAAAAATGCTAAAAGGCTAACAGTACTGCTACATTGTATTAAACAGTTTACACACCTTCATTCAAAACCCTAATACGGTTGTGTTAGCAGGTAGCTGACGTAAACACTCTGAAAATAATGATAGTTATTATAATTCAAGCACAGAATATATACTTGTAAGGATACCTTGTGATTATAGTACATTATTGAACTCGGCATTTAAGTTGATTGATTGATGCGTATATTCACACCAAACTAGTTAATTTATACGTTTATAGAAATCGGCGGTTATATGACAGATATTATCGTGGTCATGCATGTTTTTTTATAGGGGGCGTGCGGAGTGTTAATTGATATATTTTTATGAAAATGAGTACACTCACTAGACGTAAGTCAGACAATATTAGTGGTTTGGTATTCCTTGCATTTTAATTTAATTGATGTAAAATACTCCAATTACAAGCAATTACTTACGAATTCACGATCTAATCTAATTCTCTTCTTCAATCAGAAAAAGTCATAGAAGTGAGTATTCAACGGGCGTTAAAAGAAGCTGCAGAAAAAGGCATCCAGGGTAAAGAAGTAACACCGTTCTTGCTGTCTGCAGTCGCCAAAGCCACTGGAGGAGCTTCTCTTAATGCCAGTATCCTTTTTATAAGTACAAAAAAATGACTTTGAGCTTGTGCTAAATAGTCTGCCTTACTAAGGAAGTAACAGAACTCTATATACTGAATAGTACTTGCACCGTTATACTACAGAATGAAGAGCGTGAGTCGACGATCTTTTAAGTCTCATGGTAGTGGTCCAGTCTACCGAGGACTCAGAGATCGTGAATTAAAATTTCCGCCCAGTACTACCATCCAAAAATATATGTTTAACCATGTTTATTAGCAGTCTGATTAGCATAGTACTGACTATCTGTATATCTATCAGATTTCCGTGTGTGAGTAGTCCGTATCGCTGTAACAGTCTGAAAAGGTTTACTTACCGTTACAGACTAACAAGCCATACGAATCGAATAAGACAACATACGACAAGATCCTTTAGTTGAATGGTTGGCAATGCGCCAATGACACCACTGGCGTTCCGATTGTTTACAGCTATTGGTAATCACATACCACACACAGAGCGAAATGTTCTTGTTTGGAAGTTAAAGTGAGATACACTTGGTAGCGGAACATCCAAATTACCAAATGGCATCGAAACCCTATACTTTAAAAACCCTCTGCTTTAAAAAATATTTTGAATTCTTTTAAAGAATCTTGAAAGCTAATAAATCTAGCACTTTTGTAACAAGCTAAAAAGTTAATTTTTCTTTTTTAACTAATTCTTTGCTTTGCAAGCACCTAGTTGTGACGTTTATCGTTTATCTGTAAATTCCAACACCAAATATCACCAAATAAGTTGATTTAAACCATTTTAACCGACTTCAAAAACACAAAAGTGGTTATCAATTCGTCTATATTTTTTTTGTATGATCTGTGTTTTTTTTATATGATTGTTACGCGATATCTTCGTCAATCGTGGACCGATTTTCAAAATTCTTTTTGTAATCGAAAGTGTATAGGGGTGGTCCATTACCACCAAATCAGGATTTGATGATGGAATCCTAGAGAAATCGAGGGTAACCCTCAACTTTTACAGGCCCGACAACGTGTTTTAACTTGTTTGTCTAGCTTTATTTCATATTTAGCTGTATTTGCCTTTAGTAGTCGTTAGGTCATGTTGCTGAGCTGATAATAGAAGGGTCCTTGACCTTTAGATGTATTGACCAAGACATTTGTTAAGTGTTTATGTTGGATCACAGAGATATGTAAACAAAGAGTTATACATTCAGTCAAAAAAGTATCGGGAATGGATGATTTGTTTATGGTTCCAAATTAAAATTTTCGTTTTTTTTTGTTGTTGTTAGATTGGCACAACTGTTTTTCCATTTTGGCGCGGAGTTTAAGTTGCATCTGTTTTTTATATTAAATATGAACAAAAACATCGAACAAAGAGTTAAATATTGCACCGCCAATGAAATTTCGTGTACGGGGTCACTGATAATGTTACAGGAGGCTTACGGTGAATCGACTTTATCAAAAACACGTACTTATGAGTGGTACAAATCGTTCAAAAGTGGTCGAAATGTGTTGGAACATTGCCTCGCTCTGGTAGGCCATCAACGTCTGCAAGTTAACATCGCAAAAGTAAAGGAAATAGTGACTGAAAATCCTCATTCAACTTTGAGAGAGATAGCCGCCGAACTTTCTGTATCTCACGAGTCGATCCGTACCATTTTAACTAATCATTTGGGTATGAAACATGTTATCGCTCAGTTAGTCCCAAAAGACCTGAATTTCCCTCGAAAACTCAATCACATGAGAGTCGCTGAGGACATGCTAGAACGAGTCAATTCCGACCCAACATTCATGAAACGCATTGTTATTGGTGACGAAATGTGGGTTTACGAGTTTGATATGCAAACTAGTCAACAAGTTTCGGAGTGGCGCCTTCCAACTGAACCAAAATCCAAAAAACCACGCCAAAGTCGATCAAAAGTCAGTCATGTTGACTGTTTTCTTTGACTATCGCGGTGTTGTGCACTTCGAATTCTTGCCGGAAAGTCAAACGGTAAATAAAGAATATTATTTGAACGTTATGCGGCATTTAAGAGAGCAAATTCGACGAAAAAGGCCAGATTCGTGGAAAAAAAATCTTAGATTTTGCACCACGATAATGCGCCTTCGTACAAGGCCATCATTGTGAACGAATTTTTGACCAAACACTCAACAAGTACCATCGAGCAACCACCATATTCATCAGATATGGCTCCAGCCGACTTCTATCTTTTTTCCAAACTCAAATTACCACTTCGTGGCACCCGTTTTCAAACGGTAGAAGACATAAAGGAGAATTCGCGGCAAGGACTTGACTCAATTCCGGAAACAGCGTTTAAAAAATGTTTGGATGATTGGATTATTCGTTGGCGTTAATATATCGTTTCTGAAGGAACATACTTTGAAGGTGATAAAATAAATTTGGATGAATAACAAACATTTTGTGTATTATTGATCGTTTCCCGGTACTTTCTTGACAGAGTTGAGAGAGAGAGATTACAAGACATTTAGACCACAAAAACGTTTGTTACCGCAAAACTCTCTCATTTGTAAACCGCACCGAATAGGCAACCATTTTAATTGGGAACGTAAAGCAGACACGTGGTCATACTTTCGAAGATTGAATATATATCAAATGCAATTATTAAGAAGACGATGTAGCTTGCTAGGGAGGTCTGCATTCAGGTCGAAGTAACAAACATTGCCATAATCAATTATAGGGATAATTAGGGACTGCATGAGAGAGATTTTTGTTTGAGGAGGCAGGAAATTCTTAAGACGGTAAAACGTTGACAATCGACGCCAATCAAGGGTTGAGTCGACGAGCAGGCCTAGGTCTTTGACTACCGGGCTCCAAGGTATAACTGAGCCGTTAAATACGGTTTGATTAATGCTGTATCTAATCATCTTATCGTAATTTCGCTGTCTACTATGATTGCTTGGCATTTGGTGGGGTTCACTGATAATCCGAATCTCGTCGACCAGGATTTTATAAGGTCAAGGTCCTTTGTGATGTTATCGATGGCTCAACTACTACGAGACTAGAAGGGACTATTGCTATTATAATGTTACCTATTATATTTAGATTTATTTAGATTTGTAATACTTTTTAATTTGTAGTGTGTCAGTATTGTTTGAAGTCGGTTCAACTTTCTTTTTAATGCGAGGATCAAAGTGATGTCCCGAATATAAATATTGAATTAAATTATGTACACTTTAATCATGTTCGTAAATTAGCTTATTTAAGTATTAAAACACTGAAGCCTACCCTGTAAAGAATTCCATTTAAAAAATTCCTCTTTGCAGAAAGAATAATTACGAAATCGTTAAAATACTTAATAAGACTTTAGCTGCTGCGTAATTCTGTCGTAATTTAAATGTGTAGAAACGCCAACGGTCTATAAATGATACTAGTGAAGCTAATTGCCACAATTTCTTTCTTTAACGACTCTCAGACATCGCCCTCATAAAGAACAATGCGAAAGTCGGCGCCAATATTGCCGTTGAACTTAAGAAACTGAAGAATGTTGGGAATTCTTTTAATAGTAAAGTCGGAAAGGGCAGTGGGGGCAATTCTGTACGTCATTTTCACAGTTCAAGCAGAGCGGATTGTGACACTGATGACGCACCATTGATTGAGCCGAGTAAAATGTGTGATGGCGACGTATTGGTGATCGGTGGAGCGAACGTCGACAGAGCTTATAGACTGAAAGAAGAACGAGTGCAGGTGAGTTTTAAGTTATGAATATACATATATGTACAAAATTTAGCTGAGGTAATATGAGTATAATATTTATATAACAAACCCTCATAACCAGATTAATTAAATCACAAAACGCCATCTTTTGGAATTAAACAACAATATTCATACACTGTTTACGACATAATCAGTGTGTAAATATTTTTTTTTACTTCCAAGTACGATAGATCCAAGAATAAAAGTTCACACAAGGAACTGGTGTCTGAGCTTTCAATATTCCTATATTTCTCTATGTTTTGTGTATACAACGCATTTATTCAAATAGGTCACGTAGCGTAAACAGGAAAGTAGATCAAGGACGAAATATATATAATATAATCTATAATATATTTAATCATTTTGAAGTCAATCAGATGACGATGACATCCGACATGTTATGTACATAGTGATAAAAATGTATAAATGTTTCAGCTACTGTTGTAATTTATTTCATCGCTCCTCAGTATACCTCCTCTAAGCGTTCTTCAATAACATTTAGTTTCTTATTTTATAAAATCAACAGATTTCAATCAGTACCATATTGTTTTATATTTTAGCTTAAATGATTGTGTTTTAAGTTTAGGCACAATATTTAGTAGACTTAAAGCTGACCCCAACCTAGTTTGGGAAAAAGGCTCGGACGAAGAAGAAGAATTGTGTAATTTTGTGCTCTAAAATGTCACGGTGTGAAACTAATAAATTAAAAGAGACAATGAAAAAACCACAACATTTTAACAAACTCTTTATTTAATGCATTTATGATAATAATAGCTCTCAGTCGCCTAGTGCGTACCTTCGGAAAGTTGTAACAACTCTACTGTAATAATAAAACACACAACAAGGAAAACATTCAATGTGTTGTGACAGTTAAGAATTCAAAAGATCACGTACTGAACGTTATGTCACGTTGTCGCACATACCATATGCGAATTGTCCTCACTTACACAAGCTGCTTTGTATTCGTCATACACAAAGAAGGACAATGTAAACATCGAAAGTTTCTGTACAAAGTTACAGTAGTAAAATCACTGTAGTCCTAACATACACAAGGGAAACAATTCAGACATTGTTTCATGCAGTGGGCGAGCTATATTTCTATTTCGAAGTAGGTTAAAGTGTAACAGCAGTTCAGTTATGTACGTGTATGTCGAAAGGTGTAGGTAGCACATCAGAGACGAGTTTCGGCTCGTTTTATTTATATCCATTAGTTTATAATAAACATAACATCAGTTATACAATTTATAAGCCAAGGCACATGTTATTTTACCGTTTTTTTTTTGGAAGAAATGCAGGATTTAGATTGGATCCTAGCTACAAATTATTCAACTTTCCGAATATAGGTACAAATTTTTATAAGATTGGTACATTCATGTGACAACAATATTAAAAAACTATTTTTCTGCATAAATTCACAAAATATTATACCTACTCTAAGCGAACATAACTTCATACTCGTCATTACAATATATCTATAAAGTTAGTTCGTAAAAGTACAAATATGTATGAATGTAGGTAGTAGTCGAATATTGGAAAGTCAACAATACATCGGTCTACGCTGATCCACGAACACTCCACGGCGCTACGAGCTCGCTCGACTCGTAGCGCGCCCGTAGTCACCGCATTATACATCAGATTGTGACACCTTTACACGCCATTAATAGGTTTTACCTATATTTGACACAGCCATTAATAAATTTTACCTAATTTCTTACAACATGAGGTTATTGTAATTTTATATGCGCAGTCTAATGCTTAGCGCGATCTCTTTAAATAGTCAGCATTATACCTGTTATCTGTGTTTAGTTGATAAATTGTAGTACGAAACATTTTAAATTCTTCTGCCATGAAATAAAATGTTATAACAGTGTAGTCGTTCGCTTTATACTGTTTACAAGCATATAATTGTAGGCACTACGTCGTTTAAGCTCATATCAGTACTATTTTTGTTAATCTGTCCATGCACAATTACTCGCATACTACACATGTACAAATTATGTTAATTATTTACATTTACCAACAACATTGGGTATGATAATGAGAACTATATAGACAAGGAGCGACCTTCTTTTGGCCATGTAAGGAAAGCTGTCGAAAAAAAACAGTGTTTAAGTCACATATGGGCGGCAAACCGAAGCAGTGCGGAGCGACATTTAAAGGTTTCTCTAGTCTATGCGATATACTGCTTGGGTCGTGCAATTTTAAGACGAGATAAAAATTCTTATAATAAACTCACTCTATCGTTAAGATGAGGTGTCTAACGGAAAGTAACTTAATTAAACATTATTATTTATAGTTTCCAATTGTATAATTATAAATTTTAATTAGATCAAAAATTTTAATACGGCCTCCTGTAATGCTTAGTGATTTCCGCATTAACATTATGTTGCTATGAAAACAAACAAAACATGGCTGTTGTAGGTTATTTAAGCCCAAGGTTCTTCAGAGCATTTACGTGAAAATCACTGAACATTATGTGGCCATGGAGTGAACGATTGCCGAAACATTATTACTTTAAATAGAAGACAATGAATAAATGACATGAATATTTGTAAAATACATATTACAATTAAAATATCGTAAATCTATTGGTATACAATAAAAAACGGTTATGTCTTAATGCTAAACAATCATCATAATTAATCTTAATATTGGTTGATTCCCGTTATTTGGTGCTATACATATTAAAATCGTAATTGAGTATACAGATACAATATATGTAAGTAGGATGGATTTACTGCGCTCTCCTAGTAGCCATTAAATTATTATTTGTTGCTCTGTCGGAGACGGCCTTTCCTCACATGCGTGCACGCAGCCCGTTCATCTGTTGCTTTCCCTGCTCTCTTGTCATTTGCCCAGGGACCGTAAAGTAAAACAGATTTGTGTCCTATGCACCTACAAAACCAATATTTAATCGCCAAATTTAGGAACTAAACACAAGCTCTGCTCGAAAAATCGATATCACTTTGTCTAAAATACACATTTATAACGTTCGATGCACTTTCGTATTATTCGTTACTCATCGTTTTTATAGTTTTTATAAATAATACTTTAACATTGACTTGCATCGCTGATGTAGTTTTATAGATCTACCGCTATAAACGTAACCTACAAGTGAGTCCAACCGACATTGTCGGTACTCGCAAATTAATAGCGACGGTACCAGTCTTGACATATGCCTTATTACTCACGGCGTCGTGACACGGTTCTTAAACGCATAGCTTACAATTCGAATTCGGAGCGGGTATGTCGATGGTGGTCGAGACGAACGCGAGCAGCCGCGCGTCCCACACATACAGGTGGGCCTCGCCCCAGTGGAGGCTCCAGCTCACAGCTGGCAGCTGGAAAGGAGCGCCATCGCCTCCCAAACAGTCGCTCCAGGTAACATCTTAGTCAGATTCGAGTCGCTGCACTGTCTGCCGCTAGGGGTCTGTAGTCTCCTCGAGCAAGCTCACGCATTTCGCAATTGTTGTTTCCATTAATAGTTTTGGGTCCAAGGGGTTCGTCATGTATGCTTCGCCGCGAGCATGGCTCGGAGGCTCTGCCAAGTAGTGCCTCACGCTCACCTGCTCGTTCAGGACTGCCACCATGGGCCCGGACACCACCGTTCGCATTCACCGCGTTTACTATTACAGTCTGTGATAGTGGCCCACCGTGAAGCGGGCTGCCGTCAAGTAGTTCACCAGCTCCGAGTTCACTTCGTAATATTCTAATTTTTTGAATCATCTCCTTTATTTCGTACCGGAGGATTCCCAGGAAGCACAATTTTAAAAATGCAATGACGCAATATCCTAACACGAACAACGCGTCTGCAGTTCGTCGAAGCCAAACAAGTAGTCTCTCAGCACAAGCTGCTGTGTGAGGCGCACAGTGCACTGGGGTAAACGGCACAGGAGACGTCGCTGATGTCACTGCAAGCAGCGCCGGTGTAACAGCTGATGTATGAGCTGGTATACGACAGCAGCTAGCCGGTAGTGTCGTTCTATTGAGTGCTGTAAAATCAGTGGGCCCAGTAACTCCGCAGCAACGCTGCTCTCTTTGAAGCCGGTCCCAGGCTTGTGAGAAATCTATGTCAGTATCGTATTCTTTGGCTAGTCGCAGCCGTAACTGAGGTCGTAGTTCACGACAAACGCGTTCAAAACGGAACGCCCAGTAGACACCGATAGCTGCGTCCCCGACGAGTAAAGCCAGTAACGCCAACCAATAGGCGTTGAGCATACGCTCGGAGAGTCTCAGAGCAGCGAGACAACCGAGTAGCTGCAACAGGCCCGCCTGTGCGGGTAGCGCTGCGTATCCGTAGAGGAAGCCGGGCTGTGCTACACCAAGGCCAGGCACGAGCGCACGACGGTAGTCAGAGAGTGCGCGGCCCGCTGCCGCGCAGAATGCGAGCGCCCCAAGCAACAGCGCGCCGTTGCACGCGTAGATCCAGATGCGATAATAGCGCATTGCGCGATGCGCGGCGGGATGCGCGGGGCGCGCGGGCGGCGGCAGCGTCATGGTGGCGGGCGCCGCGTCATGGCGCCGCCCGCGCCCGCGCCGCCGCCACGCGCCGCGCCCCACGCCTCTAAAACACACAGAATAGCCTATGTTCAAACACTATTTGGCTAATAGTCTCTGTATTGTTAGGTTTGCTACTAGCATTATACCCAGACACAACTAATGATCGTGCTCTTCACACTAATATTTGTTCTGTGTTATTATACCTACTGAAGAATAAGAAGTATAAAAGAAAGATAAAACTTTAAAAAAATACATATGTTATATTTAAAAAAACACAAATAAAGTGTTGTGTTTAATAAATTACGTATCGCTTGGCTAATTGAAATACATACACAAAATTTTAGGTTTTCGGATAATTTACAGCATCAATCATCAAGTATAATTAATTGTCCAACTAAGTATCATCAACAGCCTTTAACAGTCCACTGCTGGACATAGCCTTAGAAGTTTGAGGGTTTGGTCTACTATACAACGCTGGCCAGACGGGTTGGTATAGGTTATGTGTCAAGTTGTCCTTCTCTTTGCAGTTTTGTTGTCCTGCATAGTGTCTTGCTCCCTTAGTCGGCTCTTACGACACCCACGGGATGAATGCATAACCACACGAAAACCTGTTATTATTTACATACTTATATATAACTAAGTATAACATGTTATTATTTATTTATTCCATATTATAATAAAGTAATGTTTGATTACATACTCAAAGCTCTATCTACCGCTGGGGAATAGGGCAAATTATGTTCGCATCTATTTTGATAGCCATTTTCGATATTACATTCTACTAGCTCGTTCAACAGTCGGTTCTTGTGTTTTCATGTAAATTCCAAAATAGATTCTATTTTTACTACATTTTAAATTCATCCGAGCGAAAGGTTCTACTAACATGAAAAGTGTAGAAACATGCTATTAAATTAGCATGTTGTTTGTTGAGTGAAATATGTGAAAGATTGTAAATAGATAGTTCTTAGGTTGCCACTATATTTATTATATTCTGTATGTATTTGAATGTATGTATGTATGTATGTATTTGAATCTATGTGAGCGGATCTATCGGATCGTTGTAGTACTAATGACTACAGATGTAGGCGGGAAGAGCTCCCGTGTTCTATTATTAACTAGCTCAACCCGGCTAAGTACTACGAGTATACATGTTGCTATGACAACTGCATTAACAATTATCACAACGTTAATATAACAAATTAATAAATTAACCTAAACTGTATAAAACTTTTTGCTCCTATTGCAACTTCCAAAATCACTCTAATGATAAGTACTTCATCAAATAATTTACAGTTTGCAACTGCAAACATTTAAGCAATTATGGCATCTGGATTTTTACAGTCAAAGTTGCGATTCTTTACTTTTTGGAATACATTGAGTAACTTTTCTACAACTAAGAATCAAAATCATTCAGATTAATTAAAAGTTACCTCCGAAATTTGTGTAAAAAAGTTCGGATGATTCAGTACTAAATAATTTAAGTATACGACGTTTTAACGTCAGTAAAATGTTTCTCTTACAGTCCGCCGCCCGTGCCGTTCGCTAGAACTCTGGCTAGTCACAGAAGGGGCCGCGCGACTCTCAGCAGTACTCCTACCACGCCGGTGCGGGGTCTGTAACAAAGTATTACAAATAGTTAGATTCACATACCATATGCATTATTTGGTATTCAGATGTGATGTTAGTTAGATCTAATCAGTTTAACAATTAGATCTAAAGAAAGAGAATAAAATAAAGAAAATGGCCGTTATACGCTAAATGCCAACAACAATATGTATTCATGAATTGTACTAGTGTCTTGGAACGACTACAATTGATTTAATTTTTTTGACAGCAAAAGTCGAAAATTAACTGACGTATATTTATTATACAGGGTGTAAGGGACGTCGTAACGAATACTGAAATAGTGAACTCAGACCATCATTCTGAGTCGAAAATTAGAATTTTCTGCCGGCAAATTCATAATGCAAATTCATAATTTAAATTTTCCATGTTTTTGATTAAAAACGATGAAGAATGATTTTACAATTAGTAAACAGAACATTTTGCCCATTATAATCCAATAAATACCGCATACGGTCAAAAGATGCATTGTAATTAATCAACAGCCGAAGCGCGCAGGGCTTTCCCCCCGGCCACCATCTTGTGTTAGTGCGTGTAGACTTCTTGCACGGAATACATATATCGGATATCTACCGGGAATGACTTTAACCTTTGACAGCTGATTGCATGAAATGTTTCATTTTCCGTCAGAAAATTCGAAAAATGATTTTCGACTCAGACTAATGGTCTGAAAACACTATTTCAGTATTCGTTACGACGTCCCTTATACCCTGTATGATATTTCAATAGTAGTTACAAAATTTAAAAAAGTTGTTACACTAATGGTCAATAATAAATGTAAAGCAATTTTATGGAGTTTCTTATTGCACTATTAGGTTTCCAAAAATGGGTGACAAGCGATACCCCTTTTTTCCGTGCGGAAACCCCTTCGGATACCACCTATAACCCTAACCGTACGCCGTCTCGGGTACTTATAGCCGGGGAACCAGGTATACCCTAGAAAGGAAGTCCCTGGTGCCCCGACAACAAGCGATACCCCTAAAATGGTAGCTCGGTCTAACATTGGGCGATATCCTAATACAAGAGTTTTACTCCTTAGGAGGTTAAAGTCTACTTAAACCAACTTGAAGTCTTACAAATTAATTTGCCGCTTTGTACCGCCTTTATCAAACCGTCTAACTTTTTTTTCCTCTCGTTACTATATCGTCTTTTATTAAACTCCGCATATATCCATAACTCTATATACTGCAAGCAATAAATTGGAATATTGGAATCTATGGCTATTAAGTTTACATAAATAAATACAGGGCAATGAAGGCAGGCTACGATATAGTGGAAGTTATCGTCTGCTGTTAGATATATCAGTACAAGGCGTATTGTTAGATGAGGCACCGATCCAACTTGTCCCGCTTGCCAGAAACATGTTGCAACACGTGCTACTTGCTATATTATTTCATTTATATACACACTCATAACGAGGCAGCTGGAACATGTTTTAATATAAACATGCATAGTACATCACGACGCTACAACCCAGCTAGCTACATCTGCAACGCGTACTATTAACACTTTATGTTTAATTAAAGTTTCATACACCTGATTTCTTTCTCTACTGTCTTCAAGTTTTGGTGTTCACAACAAGATCTAGATTCTATCCTTGTCCAAAGTCCTTTCTATCTTCATACTTTTAAAATTAGTAAAAAGTGTTCAGTAGTTTGAGGGTGACTGGATAGGCGTGTTTATTGTGTTGATGTGAACAACACAATAAACACGCCTATGTACATACTGTCTAGAAATGTCCTAATTATAGGGCATAATAAAAGTAGATATACTATAAAATATTATCCTATACAAAGACAGATTAATCGAGATACTACTGAGAGATACTACACGAGATAGAACTGAGAAGACCATTGAGAAAGTGAGAATTATGATATATGACAACGTACAATGTAGTTTTAAACTTTTTCTCTTATTTACATATTGGAAAAATAAATGTAAGTAGATGTTACATTTATTAATTTATTTTAAATTTATTAATACATGTTTCAAAAATGAACTATCAAAAATTATATTCCAATTAATCTTCTGCAGCAAAGTTAAACACATACAAAGCCTACTAAATATAAAAAAAAAACTTCTTTGATCAAAACTTGAAACACATAACCAAGTAAAGTGCCAACCTTCAGGACAACAGGATAATTATCCCTACTCACCCGCTTGACAGTTAGTCCTAATTTCTCATCCTCCATAGAGTATTAAGGAAATAGAGAGATATTTTGTTTTGTTCCTCTTTAGGAACGATTTTATAAAATAACGATGTATGGTAGGTGTATACATTGTTTGATTCCCAGCCATGACAAATAAATGTGTAGTGAGCATGATAATTTAAATAAAGTCAAAAAAAGAAAATACATTCTTAAATATTTCATAGAATGTTCAAACAGAATTTATAATTTTAATGAAGCCCAAGCAGCAAAACATCTTTGAACAGCTGATTAACAGTCACCTCTAACATAAATGCTAAGGTGTTGTATGGTGACCTCTGTGGCTTTCATAAAATACATGTTGTAGGCTATGACTATTTATACGTAGTGTAGAACTGATTCTATAACGAAATACCACTTCGACCTTATACGCACAATAACACAATGACGACTTGACATTTTACGTTGTACGTCACAGATAAAGCATTTATTTGACTAAACCTTTCATCAACTTATATCTGTAAAGGAGTATAGACAGAGCTAATTACTGTACCCAAATTTAATATTCAATCTGAAGCCACATCGTCTAGAGTTACTATACAAAATACACTTTTTTTTCTGAATAAATGACGTCTTTACCTGTACCTATCTATACGCGCCTAACAGAAAAGTCTCGATTGAGTGAATTTCCTTTGTTTATTAATAGTTATTATAAGTTCATAACCATAAAAATATCAGATGCTATTGTACCTTACCATTCTTGACGATTCCATAGTAAATGTTAAAATGAAAATCGAAACTCTGCACCTAAAAATCTTGTTCTTTCACAAACAAAATCAATGTGTACGTACTTTACATCAAAGGAATATAAAAACAACAGTCGTAACTTTAATACTTTGAGTTTTACAATAAAGAAATGTTCAATTCCATTTCATTTCTTTGTTAAGTGTTTTATTGTTTCAAGTAAAACTTTATTTTATAACGTGATCAATCGCTAAAGGAAGTGAAATTAACAAGGGGAGAAATGCTTGTCACGTTGAACTACGAGTACTATGTTTGGTGCTCGTCGTGGTGGGGTGGCTCCTGGCGCCTCAATCGTGGTCAACTCTGTCCTCGTACCGGTTCAGGCCTAGATTAAGTACCTGGGTCTGATCCTAGACGGGAGGTGGCTCTTATCGTCGAGTGGGCAGGGCAGCAGCATAGGACCCTTTCCTTCCGACTGACGTAGGTCCTTTCCGGGCACAGCTACTTCGGGCAGTACCTGCACTCGGTCGCTAGGAGAGAATTGAGTCCCGCCTGTCACCACTGCGATTGCAGTGAGGACTCGGCTCAGCACACGCTGGCAATTTGCCCTGCTTGGGCGTCGCAGCGCCGGGTCCTCATTGCAGTCATCATAGTTAACCTCTTGCTACCGGCCGTCATACGCTTCATGGCCGGTAGTGACAGATGCTTTACCGCGGTCACATCCTTCTGTGAAGACGTCATCTCGTAGAATGAGGCGGCTTAGAGGGCCCGGGAGCATGATCTCCACTCGGAACCAATTTGCCGACGACGAGCTGGGCGGCGGAGGCGCGTTTACCAGCGCCTCATGCCGCCCACCGTGGCACACCGTGTGGTTTTAGTCGGTCCGATTCCGACACACCACCCCGCCGCAAACCCCGGTGGGATGACGGCCCGAGGGGATTTTCACACGTAAAAAAAAAAATATGTCTGGTGTTCAGCTCGTCTACTAAGCATTCTTGACCATTACGAGAACCGCTAAGAGGGTCATCGGCTTCCTTTTTAACAAACTTGTTGCTACTAGCCCGTCATTGAACCGAAACTCTGGATATCATTTGAAAATAGGATCGAACACGAACTACAAGAGAACAAAGTGAAAATTGATAGCTGAGTTTTGTATACGAAAGTGTATAGTAAGTAGTAAGTGTAGTTTGTTGTTGAGTGGCGTTACTCAAAACTATTGAGCTTTGGTATGTAGGGGTACTGTCCACAA